CCCTCATCCCTTCAATAAACTTGCCAATGCTATTGCAACTTATGCACTGAAGCAGGTGCTGCAGGTATTGTTAAGTGGGGAGCTGCCAGTCATTTTACACGGGCACATTGGGCAGATTGCTGCCAGATGAAATCTCAAACAGCTGGGTCTGCCTGCCTTGTGCTCAGCAGAAGGACCAGCTGAGTGTATCTTTTCAACTGTGATACTACAAAACTAAAAGGAACTTGGTTACACTTCTATCCCTCTGAAAATGTGGTAGAAACTGAGAAGTGAGGCTCAAACTTACTGCAATGGGACAGAGAGTGCAACTCCAGAATGTCATATCTTTAAAAAACAACTTAAAGTTCACACTTTACCATGAAAGAGTTATACCACCAAACAAAAACACATCACGAGAGATTTTCTCTCAGCTGTCAACCCCAGCAGATGGATTAAGGGAACTTTGCCACTTGATACTGTCTAGTGGTCTGCTACAAAATTGAGATGGTGTGAATAAACTTTCTCTCCTGGTCCAGGTTTTCACTTAACAGTTGCTGACATCCAGCTCCTTGTACATGACTCTACTTTTTCTGAGGTTTCTGTCCAAGTTTCCTCTCTGTTTTTACTGCTGTAAACTCCCTTCTTATTGCTCTCCAAAAAGTAATACTCCAACATATTAAGTATACATACAAAAGAAACACAATATCCTAGCTCCTGTTTATTTTTCTAATTTCTGTCCACAAACTCAAAGCAGAACAGGTGAGGTTTTTTCCCAGTGTACTGTTGGCTTGTTTCAACTCATCTCAAAGATCTGTCTTCTCTCCACCTGTGATTTACATTAAAGTGACACTGGCCTATTCTTCATCATTTTAATCAATCAACTTAAAACTGCTATGACAGCTTTCTCTCTCTAGGGCTCTAACAACTCAACACATTGGGTGGGACTCCTGTCACCTACCTTTAGACATCTACAGTGCAAACACACGTAGGTTGATCAGATGAGTCTGCTATAAGCACTGGAAAAAAAATAAGCACATTCAGAGCACAATCCACTTTGGTTGAAGCAGGAATTGTATCCCCAAAATCTTAACTCAGAGGCAAAAGTCTACATGACAGATGTCTACATTGACCAGATAAATAAAAACATCCTTGCCTATTCCACCTCTCACCTTCTGGCTTAATTGCAATCAATCCTGTTTAAAAATCAACTTACACGGTTCTCTATTAAAAATTGACAGCACTTTGATATGTGCCTTGTGGAAAGGATGTTGATTAAATCTTTCTCAGAGTTCAGACTCTGAAGTTCTTTCCTAGGAGAAAAATTGGTGGATGTGTCATACTGGTAAATATAATTCCATAAAAATATCTATGCAGAAGAACAATTGCTATGTGTGTATGAAAATTAACAGCCTACTGATGCCTTCACTGACTTGTGCATAACTTCCCTTGCAAGGTTAATGTCCATGAATATGTAACATGCACCTTCTTCTCCCTATTGCTTCCCTATTGTTTTTCCCTTTTCATTATTACAGCATTTCTCCATACAGCCTGTAAGACCTTTGGTAAAGAGTTATGTTTGCATATGAGCATTAAAGCTCATTACGAAGGCACAATAATTCCTGTAGTCTAGTTAAATATAATTGCAAGGGGAAGGGAAGACAGAAGCAGAGGGCAGTTCATAATTCACAGACTTCTCACATGATTTCAACCTTCTCCTTGCAGAACTTTGTGGGTGGGAGGAGGTTACAAATGAAGCTCTCTGCTACTTTGTACTAAAAGCCTGTGCCAGTCCTCTAGTCAGTGGAATTTATGTAATGATAACCAAATCAATTCAGAAACCAGTTTTGTTAATCTGTCAGAGACCCTAAGAGTGCAAAGCTTTAAACTTCTCTGACAGTGTCTGCAATTACTCTAGCTGAAGAGACACTTCTGAACCAAATCTAATGTTCATGGCAAAAGAGTTACATTAATTTCTATCAGCTTCTGATTGAACTGACTAGAATAAATCAGAGTGAGCGAGCACACAATCAGCTCTACTGGCAGATTTGCAGATTGCTGGAAAGGGCCATGATAAGTGTCTGGGGTCTGGCTGTGAGTAATGCTCTCCTCCACCAACACAGCTGGATCCTGCCGAACCACACTCGCTGACACTCACCATCATCATGTCTTATCCAGAACTGCTAGGTTTACAGCCTCTATCAAAAAATAAAGAAGTTGTAAGCCATGAGAATATGCTCAGCGTAGAACAAGCTTCAGTGGCTTAAGGTGTCACCTCCCCACCCAGCAATTTCCTACCTCCTCTTTGCCTGAAATTAATGCCTCACAGCAGAGTTGGTGGAATGAGACACACACTAGTTCCAGCTGTTTCAACACAAGGTCCAGCAAATTAGCCTAAACTGCTCATAAGATTACTTTAACATCATATTTTGCATTAAAATTGCTTAGAAAAATTAGTGGTTTTCAATCCAGGGACTGCTGTAGAGGCAGGCACCTTCAGTAAGGAGGTCAGGGAAGCAGTATTTTTTGCAGCAGTCCAGCGAGATTTGCTCAAATTTGACCCAGCAATAGGAAAGACTAAGAAATTTCACACTTAAAGTTATCATTTTTATGGCTTACTAACAGGCTTATGAACTTCTGATTGTCTGTCTGGACTAGGTGGCCTTCTGAGGTCCCCTCCCCAACATGAATTACCCTGTATACCTAGGGTGCATGGCCAGGAACCTGAAGACACAGTTCTTCCTGCTGACACAGTCACAGCACATCTTGGCAAACTGTGGAGACCCATGCTTAGCAAACTTTCCCTCAGAGTGGAAATAGCTTGACACTGGTATTGTTCTGGTGCTGAACAACTGCTTTTCAGAAGGGAGGTCAGCTGTAGCATGGGGACCCTCTGCAAGTAGGAAGCAGCCCCACTCGACTCAATTGTTACTAGAAAAAGGGATGGGGGAAAAAAAACCAACCAGAAAAATAGAGATTACGCCCAAATAACCAACCTTCTCTGGGTCACAATTTCCTAGCTGGGGGATACAATCCTCAGACAAAGCACTTAATGTGCTGCCTAATGTGGTAAGAGGTACATAGTCTCATGGGAAGGGATATTATGGAAGTGCTGGGACAGAGCTGCTTATCATCTGCTCTCCCCTAGAAAGGCTGAACTCTGTAAGATCTGCACAGCATCTATGCTTCTGCATATGTGAAAAAAACAGCAGGAATTGATGTCATGAACAGGCAAGTTCGAAGAAATCTGGAAAAGGGGAAAGCCAGAGTTGCAGCTGTTATGAATTCATCACGATTTTGGCCCCGGTTCCAAAATTGTCACAAAGACATAAGAATCTCCACATGATTTTGAGGCAAGCAAGATCTGCAGATATATGAGAGACACATTCATACATGCTGTATTGTTTAAGAGGCATACTGAGCTTTTAGTTTCAATCCCTGCTCTTTCACCTGTGTCAGTTAGCATTTCTGAGAACCTTACTGTGAGATACAACCTCATGCTGCTGCCTTAAAGTAACAACAACATAAATTTTCCAGAGAAATCCTATACTACTATCAGGTATGATCACAAGATCATCGTCACTGGGACACTCTCAGAGCTGTCACAAGGCAGTTTCAGCAGTAAGGGCTCACTGCAGTGGTGCAGCTGCACACAGAAACACAACTTGGATTCACTGGGATTTCAATGGGCTGCTCCTGCCTCCACATCTCCTCTGCCTTCCTTATGCCTGCAGCAGCTCTACAGACTCAGCTAATTCGGGAACTTTCAGTTCCAGCAGAACTCGGTTAATTTTTTGGAGGAGCAAAACTGGCTCTCCACCAGATCAGATCCCAGGCTTGCCTTGCCAGATGGCATCATCAGTGTTACTGCGGTGTAAATAACAAACAGGAAGGCAGACCCATGATCAGAGAGGAATGCAGGACTGCCCCTTTCGGTGGCAATACAGACACAGGCTGTCTTGCATTAACTGTGAAATTACATCCCTAGAAAGGTTTATAACTGCATGGCTCCCCTCGCAGGACACCAGACTGCTAGTATTGACTGTGAGCAGCACGCACTAGGTAACATTCACCCTCCGGAGATGACACAAACTGTGCGGTGCCACCCTGTGAGACTGCCTCTGATCACCAAATACCACTTTGGTCCAGGAACAGGGCAAATCCCTAATTCTGTTCCTTTACGGTACTATAAAAGAGTATTACACTGCAATAGAAAAGATAATCCAGTGTCCTTCTGCACGCCCACGCAGGGCAACCGTATGCTCTGCATTTCCTAGACACACCCACAGACGAGCTGGAGGCACATGAGGTTTGCATTCAGAGTGTGAATGAGCTCTGATGTGTATTCAGAGCTCTTCCCGCTGGTTCCAGCCGCAAGGACACGACGCAAGGGCAGAAACTGATGCACAGGAAGTTCCAGCTGAACATGAGGAAGGACTTCTTAAGTGTGCAATGACTGCGCAATGGAACAGATTGCCCAGAGAGGTTGTGAAGCCCCCCTCACTGGAGCTATTCAAGAAGGGTCTGGACGCAATCCTGCGCCATGTGCTGTGGCATGGCCCCCCTTGAGCAGGGAGTTTGGACCAGATGACCCGCGGCGGTCCCTTCCAGCCTGACGCATCCTGTGACTGTGATTTCAGCCTTTCCGCCCCGAGCCCTGGCGCAGCAGAGCGCGGCGGGCGCCCAGCAGCCGGCCCGGGCGCTCGGCTCCGGCACTCCCTCCCTCCCTCCTGCCCGCCGGGCCCGCGCCGCTCCAGCTCCCGCAGCCAGCGGGACGCTCTCCGCCCGCCTCCTCCGGGGATGCTCAGCACGGAGCCCCGCCGAGGGCTGCTAAATGCAGGCTGGGCGGCGGCATCCGCAGCCATCGCCGGCGGTGCCGCGGGGTTTTCCTTTAGGAAGATCCCTTTCCCCCGCCGCCAGGACACGGCGGAGGCGCTCCGGAGGCCGGAGCGGCGGTGCCGTCCCCTCCCCGCGCCCGCCGCCGCCGCCATGGCAACCGCCCGTCGCCGCGCGCGCGCACCCCCTTCCCCGCCCGCCCCCCCGGCCCCGCTCTGACAGAGCCGCAGCGCTGCGCCCCCTCCCCGCGCCGCTCCCGCCCGCGGACACGCACCCCCGGCTCTCCCAGGTAACGGCAGGGCCCGGGAACGGGGCAGCACCTCACGGCGCTGCTGCCCGCGGCGGGCGGCGGCTCGGACCCCGCCACGCCGAGAGAGGCGGCGGGGATGGGGGGAAACCAGCGGCAGAGGCTGGAGGAGGGCGGAGGCGCCCCCCCTCCATCTCCCGCGGAGCGTGCCGGGAAGTGTAGTCCGCGCCCCCCTCCGGGCGCTGGGGGCTGCCGGGAGAAGCGGCGGGAGGGAACTACAGCCCCCAGCGCTCTCGGCGGAGTGGGGGGGGAAGAGATGGGTGCTGCGGAGGGGACCCCTGTGGGGACGGGAGGCTCCCTCTGAACGAGGGCACTGAGGCGGCTCTCCCCGCGGGACAGCGAGGGACAGAAGCCCCCTGTGGCGCTGCCGGGGCGGGAGGGGCTGAAGGGAGGGGCGCTGCGGCAGGGCCGGCTGGGAGGGTGGGCGCAGGGGCGGTGCGGCTGCGAGGGGAGGCGCGGGGCAGGGCAGCGAATGGGGGGTGGGTGCGGGAGAAACACGGGTGGGTGCCTGTGGTGAGGGGAGGATGGGTTGGGGGGCGTCTGGATGCCAGGGCGGGAGAGAAAGAATACAAGGAAAGGGGCACATGGGAACAGGGATGGATGGATGGATGGATGGATGGATGGATGGATGGATGGATGGATGGATGGATGGATGGATGGATGGATGGATGGATGGATGGATGGAGATGTGCTGGAGGAGGAGTGCTGGAGCAGATGGACGGAGAGAGCTGTGCAGAAGGCAGGGCAGACTGGAGTGTGGGGATGGGTACAAAGGAGGCAATGGTCAGAGGGAGCTCTGGAAAGTTTCCCCAACCAGTTTGTGTTTATGGTTTCCAGTTTCACATCTCCTACAACGCTTAGGCTCTGTTGAGCTTGTTTCACTACGTGGTCTGGACACAGTGTAAACTTTTAAAAATTATTCTGCTACATTTCTGTTTTTCCCCAAAAATTTCTGCCATGATGTCAGCATTTGTCCCTTTTCTCTTTCCATTTCCTCTCCTGACAGTTCTTGTGTTATTCTTTACCTTGTGTTCTCTAACAGTCATGAAGGGGAATAAAATTACAGTTTCTCTATATATCATACTTAAAATACACGTGTTTATGACTGGTATATAAGGGGGTGTCATTTTTTCTTGTTGAAAATCTCTATCTTAAAAGCATCAGTGCATTAGTACTCCCTTGTATATGAATATTGACTTTCTATTCTTACTACAGTTTCACATTTCACAGTGATGGGTTTCTTTCCAATGAATGCTTGATTGCAGTTGCAGATTCTTTTTTCTTCCTTTTTCCCCCATCCCTATGTCAGCTATATCCTAGACAGGCTTCAGCTTCTTGCAGCTCCTGGTACCTGCTATACTGCAGAAGTGAACATTGCAGCTGCAGCGTGCTTCCAGGGTGCTTGGCTCTTGGAGATTTGGGCTTTTGAGCAGGTAATGGGGAGAAATAGATCTCGCCCTGACCCAATTCAAATCAAAAGCCTGAGAAGTAAATGGAATACAAGAAAAAAATGATAGGCCTTTATCAGGCTTTCTGTGTAATTAATTAAAAAACAACTGATTTTTCTGGGGATGAACTGAGAAATCTGAAGACTTGATGTCTGTAGCACTAACAGCAGTATGCCTATAAATATATATATTTTTAAAAATGTATGCTATTCTATTTGAATATTTGAATAATACATATCCCTAGTCTTAAAGAGCCAATTATTTGAAATTCACAGTGGAGTTCAAGAGGTGGAAAAGTATTCAGTCCGTAATTCTGACCTTATGGGTCAGGGTTATAAACACCTGTGTGAGTGTATTAAACCTGCAATTATTCATGGAAAGCTTATCTGGGATGCAGCTTGGCTGAGCTGGGAATGGAGCAGCAGCAGCACCCAGTCTTTGTGATGCTGGCTGTGGTCTGGTAGGGCTCATGGGCTGCAGCACGGGGGGAACATGGGAGTGCAGTATCCAGGCCAGGTGCAGGAGCAGTTTCACTGCCTTTCTGGGCACAGAGCCCGACCTAAGAAACGCTCTGAACGCGAGCTGGCTCTGTGCAGGCCCATCTTGGGAGCCTTTGGTGGCATGTTTGCTCTACCAGAAGTGCTTACACACATGATATGCAGAGAAGCGAGTGGCTCCACAAAGGACCAGAAGGATTATTGACTCGGGCTGGGTTCCACTTTGTTGCGCTCCAGACAGGCCCTACAGAATCCTTCAGGTGTCTGGGCCCTGCCCCTGCAGAGGAGGGGTTGACTGATCCACCTCAGGGCTGGTCCCAGCTGAACATGGGCCTGGGTTTGATTTGATACTAATGTCAGAAGCCCTGGAGGCTGTGCTGGAGAGGAGAGTGAGGTGTGGAGCCAGCTGGGGTCCAGCAGGGCTAAGGTGGAGCAGAAGCTGGCAAGCCTGTCACTGCCTGACCCGTGTGTGTATGGAGTTATGCTCCCCAGAGTACCCCACAGCATTTGTTTTAGCTCTTTTCCTTACCTGGCCTTGCTAATGAGCACCTCATTACCCCAAGTAATGGTGGTGTGGCCATATGGATGTGTCGGAAACTGGTGTATGAGGTGCTTGGAGAAGGATACAGTTCACACTCAGTTTTAGGAATAGCACAGCCATCTCTGATTCTCCTTTCTCCTTCTTCAGAAGATTGTACTTCAAAGGCTCTGCAAATGGCTATTTCATTCTCCAGGATGCTTTCTGTTTGGCTCACCAAACTAATGAAATCTCTAATTTAAATCTCTAAATTAATCTTTAATTAAAAGACTGACCACCTATTTCGTGTTTTGTTATGTCTTTGCTTTTTGTCTTACTGTGTTTACTTTTGTGGTGAATGTCTTTATTTGAAGATTTTTTTTTCACTTGCACTCAAAGTAACTCTGTTTCAAGTTAAGAATGCACACAAAAATAGTTTGAGGCCTGCACACATGCTTCTTCTCCTTCCCACTTCCCATACACATTTCCCCATTAACTCCATGTCTGCTATTGCGAAACAGAGTTTCAGTGCAAAGAGGCCAAAAACCAGTTAGCAGAAAGCAGTTGACTGAATTAAAAGATCCCTTGGTGCAGGGTTTCCTGGACCATGGTATATGCGTGTGTGTTTTATCTGGTGTCTGTACTGCTTTAAAAAATGACATAACCTGCTGCAACCCTAACGCTGCTGCTGCTGCCATTGTAGCTAGTCTTGTCACTGCTAATGCACACAACAAAAGGAGAAAACAGCACTGGCATAACACATTTCCCATCTTTGATTCATTTACATGTAGTTTAAATTCAAATCTGCTGGAACTGAGCCATGTCCTTACTTACAGATATGTTTTTAACAGGAGCTGTGATCCTGTGAAGTCATGATACTAGTTTTCACACCAGTCCATGGGACCACAGCTGCATGTTCAAACAAAGCCATGTTAACAAGGAAAGATGGATTTAGCTATGAAACTTGGCAAGACTTTTGTTTATTTGTTTTATATCTGACAATGATCAGTTAAAATGTTGTTTTTGTCATGCAAACGTAATGTCTGCAGCATCAGCAATTGCTTCTGAACAGGGACAGATAATTATTGGAAGTGAGGATCAGTTGTTCTACACCCAATACCAAAACAAAAGGGATAATTTTTATAATAAAGCAGGAAAGACTTATTTAATTTATTTTAATTATTGCATTTTTAATAGCTTATTCTTAAAAATCAAATAAAATGTATCAAGCTCGTAAGAAAATACAGTCTATTTCTGTCAAAAATAGAATGCTGTAGGCTTTTAGTAGGAGTCACATGCCATGCAGAGAAAAACACTTTTGTTCCTCTGACAGTCTTCCAGTTAGTGTTGCTGTTTATACTTTCTCAGGTAAAGAATTGTCATATTGTTACATGTCTCTATTTTAGCAATTTTTAAGTTTGAAGAGAAGGCTGCAAATCAGATCATTGTGCTATTTTAAGTGAAGACATAATTGAGGGAGAGAGAGTTGTTTGAAACTGGTCAAAGTTGGCTTACAAAAACAATATGACCTTAACCTAAGAATGGGAGGTTTCAATTAACTGTAATGAAAAGCTTCCAAGCAGTAAGAGGAATTTGAAGAAAAACAACTTCAGTTTATGACTTAGACTCTGGTTTAAGAAATGGTGCACATGAAAAGTGTATGAATTCAGAAATCAAAACCTCTTAACACTGGACTTCTCTTGCTGCTTTGCTCTGTCTGGCAATTGACGTGTTCTGGGATTGTGCGGTGGCAGAGGGTCATCCTGGCTCTGCCTTGAAGAGGCAAGTGGAAAATGAAATGAAAAATGTACAGTCATACCTCAGTCATAAGCAATGAATTCAGAAGATGGTGCCAAACAGTGTGACTCTCTGTCTTGTGACATTAGTTGTAACTCTTACATTGCATTTCAGGATGCCCAACATCATGCATGGCTGATTTAGAGAAAATGAGAAACAGGATTAGTAGCCAGTCTTCATCAGTGTATGTCCAGGCCTTTCCAGATGTTCAGCTGTCCAGTCAGCAGTACTGCAGGGCTGCCATGATGTGAGAGCATATGTCCAGCAATCTCAGGAAGCTGTGGAATGTTTTTGTTTTGCCTGGATAAAATTTTGATCAGAGAAAGACACATGTCCAAGAAAATCCATGTATTAGATAGCCCTCTCAGTGAAGAATTAACATCTCATTTGGAGAAAAGTCTGATTGGTAGGTATTAAATAAGGCTTGATGTGACTGTTGAAACAATGAGAATAAAGCAAAAGTGTCTGACAACTCATTTAATGAGTTCTCCATCCTGTGCAAGAGTCAAGGGCTTGTGGGGAAAATGGGGTGCAGTGGTGTCGCCGGTTGTGTCAAAACGCATGCATAACAGAGACATATAACGATAGCAGATGCCTTCCATTTTGGCACTTGCAGAGTGAATGTTTGGGATCAAGCAAGAGGAAAAGCCCTGCTGCAGACCCTCTCTATGGGGAGAGCATTTGCTGCCTGTGGTAACACTGTAGTGGCATAGCGCTGAGAGAGATGGTTTGAAGAGGGCTAGTCCTGAATCCATTCCCATTGGTGTTGCTCACAAGCTTGGAATAGTGTGCTAAGCTGTCCCCCTTTGCCTGTCCTTCACACAGTCACTGTATCTGCCCATGGATATGTTTTCTGTGTATAATGCTTTGATGTTAAAGTAGAGACTATCTTTTGGATGTTGCTCAATTGTGCATTGCTTTAGTTCTGGGAGAAAAATTCTTTTCTGACCCCAGACAGGGATCAGCTCAGCTTATGCTCCAAAGAATAGAGATTAATATCCCCTGTGACCTTTTAGCCTAGCTGCTGCAGGGTTTTTAACAAGTGGGTTTAAGACCCCATGTGTGGCAGCTATGCCGACACGAATGTCTGTAATGTCTCTTCTTGTCAATGATCCGTGAACTAAGGAATCTCCAAGGATATCCTGAGGTGCAGTGGAGCTGTTACGATCTAGTGCAGGAGAGAGCCACACAATGATAGAATGAAAAGCTGGTGTCACAAGTAGTGTGTAAGTTGTTCTAAATGTACTTGACAACAGTTCTCCATGGCTGTATATTTACTTAAAAGATGTGGCTGCGATATGGTAGGAAAATTAAATATCTAAACAAAGCTCCAGATAACAAACAACAAAAAGCTTTATTTATGATTTCTGTATTTCTGGTTCCTTGGATATCTCTGATGTTGTATGAACTCTGTAATACAATGTAGAACAGATAATAAAGAGTGAGTACATAACATGAAAAGGTCCTCACCTAGCTGTAGTTATTTCTCACTCTCTCTCCATCCCTTCTGTTGAAGAATGGGATGATCAGAAAACAACACAGGAAATAATTCCTTCCAAAAAATAATTTTTCCTTTATTTTGGATTTATTTGTTTTGATTTTCTTTGGATATTCTGAAGTAACATTACCTTCACTGGTGTGCATAGGAGGCTTGTAGTTTGTTTAAACCATTTTTAGCATTAGTTTTAAATAGCAGTAGAATCTCAGAGAACTGCCTGGGATTCCAGGAAAGCACTGATTTAGGACTGAGACCTACATAAGCTGTTTCAAATAAAGCTCCAGTAAATGAGGCACATTATATTCACCTTTTCAAGCTATATGACACCTTTGGTGTCTAGGGTACGTGACAAGTGAAAACTGAAGTGCCTGAATCCACAAGAAAGATCCAGGGGCTTTTGTCAGCCTAGCTCTGGAGGTATTGACTGCTCAGTAGGTACATAGGTGTGTATCCACCAGCCTCCCTCCATGCTCCAAGTTTCAGTGCCTATCAGTGTTTTATAAGCTCTTCAGTGTGACACACCTGGCATCAAGCTCATGTGTAAGCTTTGGCATCACATGCATGAGGCTAGAGGCCCCCAAACTCTTAGTAGCTGGAGGAAATGGGAGAGTCTTGTTTGGATTGCTCCTGCAATTTTGAAACCGTGTACATTTTTCTGCATCCTGCCTATCAGCTTCCTTGTCTAACCACTGTGCTGAAGACGGCACATGTTTGCATGGCTCCTATGGCTTGCCTCTGCCTGTGGATTGAGCCAGCTTCCACCACAGACAGAAATGAGGAGGTTGTCTCTTCTGGTGACCAGGGAACTCTTCTGGAATTAAGGGGAGTTGGTTGTGAGTATCAGTCCTCTTAAGGCAAAAGGGAGTTAAATATGACCAGAGGGTGGGAAGTAGCTGTAAAAAGGAGCAATGAGAGGTTGTAAAGGAAGTATGTTTTCTGCTTAATAGATTTCTAGGACTTGAATTCAGCACTTCCTTAAAAATGTTTTATTTACTCGCTGTCTTTCACTACGTATGCAGAAAACCTCCAGAGATTTGAGGAATGTTGGTGGCAGGCTGGTTGTGAAGCACATCCTAACCTGGATGTGTTTGAAGACAGATCAATGGCTTCTGCCCCACATGGTGTTCTGTTCATTTATAAGCTGGCTCATGAGATCTGAATGGGTTATAAACTATCTTCAGTTCCTACAATTTTATGCATTTCCTGTGCAATGTGGGTGACATAACTTTTTTTCCCTATTAGTTACAATTTTCTATATTTAAAAATTAAATTATCTTAGTTTCTGCTAATCCAGATCTTGGTAATGATGTATCCTGCCTATGTCAGGAAACAAAATTAGGGCTGTCGCCCTTTCCACCTTAGGTTTTCTCCTGCCCGGTAGTTTACAACAGCCAGTGGGACCGCTGTGCAAGCTGAAATGTGCAGCACAGCATGAGGACAAGTAAAGCCTCAGTAAGTCCTGCTGTGCTTGGTGGAGTGTCAGTTGCGGGGTAGCAGCATGTTCTTGCTATCAGAGTCATCAGCCACATGCAAGCTATGTGACCTGTGGGTTTAAGTGAGAGTGGCAGGTTTCCATGGCTTTGTTGCAGGGAGCAGGAGCGATGAGGTGGTGGAGCAGATCTGGTGTGCAGCTGTAGGCAGCAGTTAGGACCATCAGTGTGGCACCTTTGGGAGGTGCAGTGTGTGTTTGCTCAGGGCAGAATGAATTTCATGTGGATGTCTGTTTAACTTGTCAGGGGTTTGAATTTTGCTAAGCACAAGAGAATACAAAAGCATAAGACACATCCTCCTTAATGCCATCTTGCTCTTGTCTTGTCTGTTTATAAAACCTAACATTTTTATAACCCACTAGGATGTAAAAGGTTACTTCTCCCTGTTCTGGCTTCTGTCTGCTACCACCTTCTGTGTGCACTCCAATAGCACGGGCTGTTTTCAGCTGTGTAGCCTGAACTGTGGCTATAATCCAAGATCTGGATTAGCAGCAACTAAGATAATTTAATTTTTAAATATAGAAAATTGTAACTAATAGGGAAAAAAAGTTATGTCACCCACATTGCACAGGAAATGCATAAAATTGTAGGAACTGAAGATAGTTTATAACCCATTCAGATCTCATGAGCCAGTTCATATATATCCCTCCTTCCCAGTTTCTTCTTCACCTCCTTGGTCTTGCCAAACCCTTGATACAACTAGTGGACCACTCTCCAGAGCTGACCTCCTCCCTCTTGCTCAATGCAACTCTGCATTGCACAGCTATGAATTGCAATTTTTTATTTTTCATATCCAGAGATTTATATCTGGGTGAATGTCAGGGACCCCACACATACTGAGTCAGAGTACAAGGGAAAGGAACCGATGCTCTTTATCTGTGGTGAGAACCTAAACTTTGGGTCACATGAGATTCAGATAAAAGGGCAGGCTCTGCTACTATCCTGAACCTTAAATACAAACCTAGCTGTACAATACATCTTAATTATGAATGTCTGGATTATTGCTTTCTTGAATGGTTACTGGGAAAAGCTGGGCTATGGATTTGCCTTAGAGTCATGCTGCAATTTGAGGACTAGGGGAAGGTTGTACTTTGGGAATCACTGTTCTAAGGAATGTTAAATTTGGATTGCTAACTCGGCCATAAATCCCAAAGTGACATGTTAAATTTAATGAAAAAATTCAAGTCAGCATGTGGATGGTGGAGTACTTTGAAAGAATATTTAAACAGAATGAGGCTCTCAACTTTTTCTATAGTAGAGCAATCATTCAACCATATCATAATCTCATTAGGGTGAGGGCTCTTGAAAGTGTGAAGTGCAGACATCCCTGATGCTGGTTGGCACATTTAGGCATGTATGTAATACAACAGAATAAAAAGCAATTTAATGCCTCGTGTGATTTGTGATTCACAGCTGATGGCTGCTAATACATTGTGGTGATCTACAAATTAAAGTTGAGTTTGTTAGTTTCAGTGTGGGAAGGGCATTACATTTTGTTGCATTAATTTAACAGGACTGGGGCCAAAGGCAGCGAAGAAGTTGTGTTTTTAATCAGTATAAAAGAGTTAGGATTCATGATCTGAAACCTTAGGCTAGTAAAGAGATACTCCAGACATAAATGGTTGTAGAAGAGAAGGACTAGATGGGAGCGGTGTTGGAAAGACACAATTCAGTTATGAGAAAAATAACAAAACTAAACCATTACTGTCTGAATTATTCTACAGCATGTAAAATTCATTTTTTCTGGTAATTGTATTCTCTTTTAGATTTCTGAGTGAAGATGAATTTAGCAGAGATTTGTGATAATGCCAAAAAAGGAAGAGAATATGCACTCCTTGGGAACTATGACTCGTCTATGGTATATTACCAGGGTGTCATCCAGCAAATCCAGCGACATTGCCAGTCGATCAGAGATCCAGCAATTAAGGGGAAATGGCAACAGGTAGGGTGAAATAACATTCCCATATTCTATTACTTGATATTTGAAAATCACACTATACATCCCAACTTTATAAGATGCAGAGGACTTATATTTCAGTGATGTTGGCAACAGTTGTTGTACAATATTCTGTTGATATTCATGGGAAAATATTTTTCATGGTGTGTTCAAAAGGAATTCTATTGTTCTAACCAAATAGATTATTTCATTTTTTTTCACTTAGGATGTCTGTCTAATTCCTGGTCTGTTTCTGTCTACATTCTCTCTGTGACTGAATACTTTTGAAAAAATTAAGGACTTTCTTTTCCTCTTGTATCTTTTGGACATCTAATGTCCAGTAAACTAAAATGTGAGTGGGTGGGTTAGCATCACTAGAATTGTTGTCTGAGTAGCAGCTAACTAAATGACTATAGTGTACAAATTTGAATCAGGCTTCTAAAACTGCAAGTCATACTCTTAGCCTGAATCTTGCACACATCCATCTCCCTGCTAGACAGAGTACTGCTGAACCCATGGAAGTAATCTGCAGGTGTAATAAAAACCCCATCTATTTATTACTTTCAGTATTTAAGTCTTCCTCACTTTTTTTTGACCCATTTTTCATGATACAGACTGTGTTCTATAAACATAAAAAGGAGGAAACAATATAAAGATGTTTCCTAGAATAAAGAATTCATGTTGCATAAAGACCATGTTTTGAAAGAATTATGTATCTTCTATAAAGATACAATTTTGCAGTAGGTAGCTAAAGAGATTCTTTCAGTAAGAGTTTTTCTAAATATCATATGTTTAAATGATATCACCCAAAAACAGAAGCAAATTTTCCTTTTTTTATTGCAGCAGATGATTTGTTTATAGGTTTGTATTTGAAACTTGTGACACTAACACAGAGTATTTTATGTACTGATAAGTACAACACTGTTGACAATCACTTTGTAGTAACAGTACTGTTCATAGGTGTTTATCATGGAACTGTAGAAGTCTGTTTATGAAGAGCTTGTCTGCAAAGCATGTGCATCCAGCAGAGGTAGTTTTCCTGGTAATGTAGTAAGATGGATGTTGTATAGGAGATATTCACATTCAAGTACTTGTATTCAAGCTTTTTCCCACCCCAGGATGTGCTGACACAAAGTGTTCATGCCCAGTACATGTCCTTAGTTCCTGCTAAACTTGTAGTTGATGTGAAGGCAGAGCATGAGGATTTTCTCATTCTGCAGCTGAGCCACTGCATTTCTTCACGTGTAGTATTTAGTGCTTCCTCTGATGACACTGATTCTTCCAATAAACTTTCAACAGTTCTTGTGTTGTGAAGGTCACTCAAGTCTTGTGTTATTGTGCGTTGTTTGAACTGCTTCAGAGAAGCCTGTGCACCATGGAATGTGGGCTGCACATTAGAGACAAACCTCAAGTACAAAAGGACCATTAACACAGTTTCCAGGATTTATTCCCTGGGAAAGGCATCTGTGTCTCCAGCAGAGGATCTGAAGCTGGCACCTTCTCAGAAATTATCCCCTTTAGGCAAAAGAAGAATAGCCCCTGACCATGTCACATAAATGCTTTAGAGATCTGTCCCAAATAAGATCTGCAGTAGGTGGGGTAGCGTCTGTCATGCTGTGCGCTCATGTTAATTCTGAAGCTTCCCAACACAGTAGTGGCAGATGAGCTTTGTCAGAATATTGCTTTGCTATTAGTGGTGCCAGGCTCAGAGACAAAAAATAAGAAGTGCGACTGAAAAAAAAATGAAGGGCTTCACCCCTAGGTTATTTGCCTTCTCATTCATTTATGGGAACAAAATTATACAGCCCGAGAGCAAACAATGCACCTTTTCCATACCACACCTTGCATGTTTTGGTGAGGCCTATAGAGATAGACCTGCTTTCTTTACCCACTCATTATAAATAATTGTTGTGCTTTCTCACTCCTTGAGACAGACTGAGAGGGAGTCTGATGATGTGGATGTTAGCACTACTTTCCAGCTCCAACAGCAGCTACATCCAAACTGTCAGTCACAGTCAAGGAGCTGTCTTGACTGACAACCTGTTCTGAAAAAAAATTAACTGAGAAGTTGGTTCACAAGTAACATTCATTCACAGTATTAAAGCGATATCTAGATATTAATTTTAGATCTTCCTCATTAAAGAGTTATGCCATACACATTATGTAAGTTTAGCGAATTTCAGGTCCAACCCACTTGGTACCAGTAATGTGCAGAAGCAAAAGATTCCCATAGCAGTGTGATTCTTGCAAGTGGCTTGAGAAGAAAAGCAACCTTTAGGTCATGGTTAAGGGGATTAATGCAGTTGATTTTTACCTGAAATTCTGTCTCCTCAAGCATATAGAACTAGCCTGTTCTTCAGTTCTTCAGCTTCTTCATCATCTGAGGAATCTGGAGAGGATAATACCAGTGGTACCTTTTTGAGGTAGTTTAGCAATCACTAACACTGTGTGGGTAGAGCTTTTACTCTTAAATGTCTATGTAGGTAAGTGCTCAAAGGAGAAGATTGTTACTTGAACTAGTTCTTCTCTGGGATATACTGTCTGTATACGCATTCACAATCGTGAACCTTCTGAAGGATTCCTGGGATGCTGAGTGTCAGTATGAAGCATCCCCTTCCTTTCTGTATGGTCTGTGTGCAGCTCACTAACAGGGTTTTTGTCCTACTGATACTTCTGAGGCAGTGAACTAAGTTTTGTGTGTTTGTGGACATGTTCCATTGTAAAACAAAAATGTTCATTTGAGGAACATCGCAAAGAATGGTTCCAGCTGTGGCTGTGCTGCTGACCAACTTACATCTTTTACATGCACCCCTGTTCTTCCTGTTTGATGTCTTCTCAACAGTGAGTGCTCCATCCTGAATAGGTACCTCATGCCTGATGGATCTGCTTTGTTGCCTTGTGTATGACAGAGGATTTTCCTGGTATTTTATTGAGCAATGTCAAAGCCCAGGTGAACCAGAAGTAGTTGGGATTTTGGATCAGATTCCCAAATGCTCTTGATCTACCTTTCTTTGCATAGGTGTCATTGTTTAAAATTGCTACAGGTTGGTCTTGACAGAATGATGTTCTGTGCAAGCATTTGTTGGGCTGTATTTCATGTCACACAGAGAGACAGCTTCGGCTTTGCAGCTGGGCATCTTGATTACGAGGATTCCTCCTGCTTGGACCTGATGGTTAGGATGAGGAGGAATATGAACATGTTAACATCTTCTCCCCTAGGAACAACAGACTGGTTCACTTATAGTTAAAGCAGAACTGCTTCTGGGAATTCCAAATCAGTGCTAACCAGGGAATAGGGATTTTGTTACTATCTGGCACACCTTGCAGATCTTAAACAGGGCAAAAGATGCATGCTGAGGATCCACCAAAGCAGAGACATGACAGCATAAGAATTCCTCTGAATTCATGGAAAATTCACAGCCATTGATCATCTCTTGACTGTCTTGGGGATATCAGGGTGACCTGCTCTCAAGACCTGTCCTTGTCTTGCATTCAGTGAGTTTCCAGCTTGCTCTTGGGTTGGCTGAGTGTAGCACCATTTGCATCTTCATTCCTAGGCCTCCTGAGCTCATTTTAAAAAGTTACTTTGTTATGCTTTGAGTTCGGCTGACAGGTAGGCATATTAATTCATGTAAAAGCAGGCTGGGACTGAAAAGATTCAAAATCAGAAGCAACTCATCCTTACCAAAACTAAAAGGTAGGTTTAGTCTTATGTCCACTACTGTGAACTTTACTTGTGTTGACATACTCCCTGTTTATTCTGAGAGAGTTTCTTGGCTGTTGCAGTGTTTTTACTAGACAGCTGGCTTGTAGGAACGAGCAGCTTCAGTGACAGTTCAGCAGCTGCAGAATGACAGCAGAGCGTGCCCCTGGGACATAGAACTGGCTTATGACAAGGCCAGCGGCTGTCAAGCAAAACCTGCTGCGTGTTAGAACCATGTGCTCTGTGTTGCACAAGAGCTGAGAGCACAGGGGCCTCCACTGGAGCTCAGACAGGAGTTCAATGACTCCCTGAGCACTTGGAGCAGCCAGCAAGGCACCCTCACTGACTGTGGTCAGTGGTGCAGGTGCACTGATTAGGTGCACTGTATTCCTGCTTAAAGAATAAAGGGTAAATTCTTCCTTTTATTACTTCTAACACATTTTGATCAGTCTGTACTTGTGTTGTTTTTTGCTTCATGCCTGTTTCATTTACATTTAGTAGGTTACCTCATGATTAATTAAGAAACATTCTGTGGGTAACTCATGAATAGGTGTCATTATAGGAGCTATACCTTCACTCCATGGGATCAGACAAGTTTGCAGGGTTATGTATTTTTGATATGGTTTAGGGACCTTTTATTTTCACTTTTTAAAAGATCAAGCTTTTTGAATTACTAACACTAATTGCAGGTAGTAATTTCAGGTTTGGAAAACACTTAGAGATAAACTTAATAAGTTTTTCTTCAGCAAAAGAAAAATCCCACACATTATTTGTATTTACCAAAGTACAAATACCCACGCTTATTGCAATGGGTATAGAAGTACACGCTCTAGCATAGCAAATAAAAGCTGGTGATGGAAAAGGTATAACAGTTGCCAGATTATGAAATACAGAGTTACTCCCTGAAATGGGTTTTGTAACTACCACTAAGAACAAATGAACTCAATTCTCGTTCACTGCGTTTTATATCGATATGATAGGATGTGTTGTCTGCTTGGTTACTGGAAATTCTTGAGGTTGGCATGTCAAAACAAAGCTGTGAGACCATCGTGTGAGCTGAAAGGCTTTTTATTGAGCCTTCCAATGTCACCCAGTGCCCAGAGGAGGTGACGTGGCTGGTAGGGGAAACTGCTGTACCAGAGCCTGGCTCTGGGGACCAGACGGCTTCACATGGTAGCTGAATCCAGCTAACATCCTGCCATGCCTAGAGAGACCCAGCTCTTCCCTACCTTTTCTTCCTTCATCTGAGCCAGCTTCTCTCCCTCCTCTGCCCTCTGTCCTATTTTTTTTTCCTGGGATTTACCTGATCACCGGATGATGTGCATGTGCAGCTTGCTAACCCAGCAGAAGTGTCCTTTGTTTTTTGGTTTTTTTACCCTCCTAGGCCTTTTTTTTTTTTTTTGCCATTTTACCAACCTGTCTTACTGTATCGAGATGCCAGAATTGAATCCAGAAGAGCAGGGGCAGAGTGTGGTTGGGGAGAAGAAGTGAATAGAGCTTTTTCTGTTTGGCAGTGGTGAGCTCCTAACTTGGCACACTATCTCTTGAAACTGCTTAAACATAAATAACCTAAAAGCTTTCTTCAGGCTCTCTAAAACCTGAGCTGGAGCCTCCTAAGGGTTCCAGCACATAATGGTGTGTATGATGGGACGAAGAGACTGGGTGAGTCTAAACCAATGATTTTTCCATTTGCATCCCTCCTAGGTAGCTTCAGAGTGGCAGTGATCACTGAAAGATACTGCTCAGTCAACTTCATAATTGTGGCACAGCCCTTTTTTGGTCAATGTCTGGCTTGTTTCTCAACTGCAAGGAAGTCTTTCTGCACATATTTCATCTGAGTCAGTTTCTTTAAGGCCTCTAGGAGTTTATGGCTGATTTTCCTTTGTGGTCCATAAGTTGAGGGTTCCTTGTTGATTGATTTGCCAGGTACTGACTAAGAAATAGGGTGTGTATTTCAGAGTTTGGTCTGCTCAGGTCTGGCTAAGAGATGTCTGGCAGATGTTAAGTCTGTTTTCATCTTCCAAAGCATCAAATGGTCACTTCCCCTCAGTTTTCAGATACCATCCTCTTGCTGGTCCAGTGAGGTGAACGACAGCACACTGGCTCTTAGTACTAGAAGGTTGTTTTCCACCAATTTCTCTGCATGTGTTGGAAGGCTGATAGAAGGAATCCTGTCAGTACTCTTGGAGCACTGGAGTAGCTGTCTCTTGTGGAGTGGTGCCCTGGAGGATTTATGCTGTATCATTCTTTTGTACCTCACAGCAGCTGTTTGGCTGGATTTATTTTTGGACAGGAGGGATGTGTGTGAAGACAGTTCGAAGGAACCAAGTTAGTAATCAATCACATTTGTAACTCAGCTGGAAGCTCTCACATTGGGGAATGTGTTCACTGATTTTGTGATGAGAAAGCAAAGAGAGCAAAGCAGGGCAAGAATAATCCTGCCTGAGCTGGATGTCTTGTGTCTTTGGAAAGATACAGTCACCCCATCTGGAATGAGCAAGAAGGCTGCTTTGCCCTGGGAAATGATCAAGATCTTCCTTAAGGCTCTTTTTGTACAGGTGTTCATAAACCTTCTGGTAAAGTAAATGCAGTGTTTTAAGATCTGTTCAGGGCCTTGGGGATTTACCCTTCTCTTTCCCTCTGTCCACGCCAGTATCTTGATGATGACAGTCACATATATTAATAAAATCACGGTGGAAACTCTCAAGCTGGAAGGAAGTCATAAGGATCATTGCGTCCAACTCCCTGCTCCTACCTAAAACTAAACCACATGACTAAGCATTGTCTAGACACTCCTTAAATTCTGGCAGACTTGGTTCCGTGACTACTTTACAGGGGAGCCTGTTCCAGTGACTGACCACCCTCTCAGTGAAGAACCTAATGTCCAATCTGAACTTGCCCTGATGCAGCTTTATTCCATGTCTTGTGTCCTATCTCTGGTCCCCAGGGAGAGGAAATCAGCAGCTCCCTCTCTGCTGCCCACCTTGAGGAAGTTGTAGACCGCTGTGAAGTCACTCCTCAGCCTTCTCTTCTCCAAGCTGAACAATCCAAGTGATCTCAGCTGCTCCTCCTAAGTCTTACCCTTGTCCTTTCACCACCTTAGTTGCTCTCCTTTGGACACATTCTAATGTGCTCCTCACAAGCTTCATTTTGTACTATTATATTTTAATGATTTGTCTGTTTTTTTAACTAGGACATCAGAGATGGTAATCAGAGATCTTTTATGCCAAAATAGTAGCAAATTACTGCAGATCTGCCAACAGCATCCTTACTAGTATGAGTATGTGTGCATACATGTCAACATGCACACATAAATCCAAGCATCAGCACATGTTACAGAAGAGTGATCACTGCGTTAGCAATCGTGTCTGGTCGGGACATTAACAAGCAGGAAAATGAACTCAACAGAGATTCAGTTGTTTATGGTGCTGTTAAAGGTCTGTTATCATCCTGATAGGTCTGGGGTTTGTGAATAGGAAGACTTGGGAGTCCCTGCCTTTGAGGTTAGCATATGTTCTTGAGGTACTTTCTATGTTTGTTTGGTTCTTTTTAAAGTTTGAATTGTAGCAATTTTAAAATAACATATATATTTCTCAAGGTCCGACAAGAATTAGTTGAAGAATATGAACAAGTTAAGAGCATTGTCAACACTTTAGAGAGTTTTAAAATGGACAGACCTCCAGATATCTCTGTATCCTGCCAAGATGAGCCTTTCAGAGATCCAGCTGTTTGGCCTCCTCCTGTTCCAGCTGAACACAGGTAAGGAGAGGCTCAAGCAGAGTGGGTGGAATAAAGGTGGGTCACCATAATTTTGTATTTGTTTTTGAATGCTTCTTTAACATGAAAATCACATTTAATTTGCACATTTATTACATTTAATTTAGTCATTTGTAATAAAGAGTAAATTTAATTCATTGAGAAAAAAAGTATTTAAACTACAGTCAGATTTATTTCTGACATTCTAAAGAGAGTCACTCCTTTATTCTGGTAGGAGTAAACTAAGTGCCTGGAACTAGAGTCTGCTGCAGAGGTAAGTGGGCTTTTGGTGACAGCCGATGTTCTCATGTTCAAGGAGAAAACTTTTCAGTTTATTTGAGCAAAAGAATTAATTGATGACTGAAAAATCTGCCCCTAGCTACAGATAGTTTAACCTGTGTTTAATCCATTGGTTAGTTTAATTGCTAAACATGTTCTGTTACACATAGTATATATCTTCTGTAACCATATTTAAGGTAACTTCAGTTAGCTAATAGATTTTTTTAAATAGATGCTTGTGCATTTTCTGAAATCCCTATTTTCAACCTGCTGGTTAAAAACAGATTCAATTTACAGACAAAAATAACATTTATCATGCCAATAATTTTTTAACATAAGAACACAGAATTTTAACATGTATATATTCACAGAAGCAAAGGAGAACAGTAAAATGAGAGATCCTGGTTAATGGAAAGAAATGCCAAGCTTATTTATAACTTTCTGTGCTTTATGATTATCAAAAAGATTTCTGCTTTTCAAAAAAAACCCAACAAAACAAAACCCTAAGAATATAAGTGTAAAATTATATTAATGCTGATTACTTTTGTGAGTGGTAGAAATAACTCAGATTTTCCATGGTAATGTTATGTAAAGTTCAAGATGTATTTATTCTTGTATTTTCCTTAGTGGTAAAGCCCAAATAGTTCATCTGCTTCTTTTAAGCTGAAATTTAAATCTTGTGCAAATAAGTAAGGAAACTTAGGCACTGTTCTATGCTGTTAAGTTTAAAGAAAATGCATGAAAAGCAAAATGTTGCCATTGTATCCAGCAGTGTGTTTAAGAATGTCCTTAATTTAAAGCATATTCCAGGAAAATGTTTTTGGGGTTAATATATTTTGAGTTACAAAACAAGAATCAGTACAAGATTCAATAGGGGACACTTACTAAATTTGGGTGACATTCCTGGCTGTTTATTTTAGTTCTGTATTTCAAATTCAATCCCTAGAGAAAAGTGACAATGATGCCTTGTCTTAAAACCAAATTCTTTCTCCTCCTTCTACTGCGGAGTACTCTGTGACGTTGTGGGTGATGTACACAAATGTAGGTGATTGCAGTTTGGTTCTGTTTGCTTTTGCTTTCAAGGCAATTTTTATGTTTTGACATTTTCACACAGGGGAATGAAGTCAGAGGTAGGCGGACTGTTTAAAATCCTCTCTGTTTTGTTTTGGGGCCTGTCAAACATTTTAGCCACCTTTTTTTTGTCTATTTTTTAAATCTTTATTTTACCAGGAATGTCACCTGTTTGTGTAGAATTTGTGCATGTGAATGTAGCCTAATATAATCTCCTGGTTTGGAGTCAGAGGAATATTCGATTTGAAGACTTTTACTAAATTGTTTCCTCTTTTGTTACATGGGTGTTGGATTATTGTAAGACTGATAGGGAGTACTACCTGTTATTTCTTTCTTTTGCATTTTTTCTTCTTACTTTGGGTATCAGACAGAACCAGGAATGTGGTTTTGGATTTGCAGATATAGGGAAATAAGGCTTAGGATCTTGACAGCTTTAGTAATAATGTACTAAGACAAATTAGAATCCTTCCTTCTTAATGTTGCTCTTTTTTTTCAGCTGTTTTTAGCATGTTTTTGTTGTGGTTGCTGTTGTTAGGGCTCCACCTCAGATAAAACGTCCCAACCGAGATGGAAAATCTTTGAAGAAAGACTCCCCTGGACTTCAGCCCCGTGGGCCTGTGGGCAGAGCACACGTGGTGTCCAAGGGGGAGAAATCTTCAGGCAGCCGTGAAAGGGAGTCCAGAGCCAGAGGAAGAGATGACAAGGTAAGAAGTGGGAAAGGACTTGGCAGGGGGGGTGTTGTGATGCAGCAGGTGGCAAAGGGAAGCACTCTTAGTCCTTTAATACAGATAATTAAAAGTCACGATAATCCCATGTGGGAAAACTTAGTGCTTTCTTTTTCTCCATGATCAAAGCATGTATCATGTTGATATTTATTAATAATTACAGCAAATTAAGAAAAGTTCTGTCATGTTTGCTCTGTCTTGGTGCAATATTTTTTTGAGAAAGGGAAGCATAGTGTCCTGTTGCTGAGGGTTTCTTATCCTTTGAGTGAAGACCATGGGTTTGTCTCTAATCTCTAAGTGTCATTCAGGCATGAAGTCCCTTCTCCTCCTTTTCTTCCATGTTTGGTGGTTTTTGTTTTTTTTCCTTAAAGGAATCCAATACAGGGATTTTGTAAACATACTAATATAAAAAGTCAGACCAGTGCCCTTCCCTAGACTTGAAGCATTATGAATGGAGTTTTACAGTACCATTACCTCTGCCATACCATAGTATAATTCAGGAATGTCTAAGAGGTCAGAACAGTTCTATAAATGCATTGATGATAGGTAAATCTGTGCCAAATTATTTGAAGTTACATATTTGAAAATTATATGAGGGAGAAGTATTAAAACCAAGCTCCAAGCAACTTTCATTTTCTCTGGTTTATGAAAGGGGTTTTGTATTTATTATAGTGTTTAAAAATAAGCTTATTGGATCTCTTTTGTTTTAAAAGTAAAAGCAATAAATTAAACTAGACTAACTTGGAGATACTTTCTTCTGAAGATCCATGAAAAAGAAGCAGTGCTGAAGTGAAAGAAAAGGAGAAACATTTATTCACTATAAAATGGTGATGTCAAAAACAGGGCTATTTCATGGCTGTAAAAAATGTCAGTGTGCAAATTGCTGTTTCTGAGATGCTTGTGTTTTTAAATTTAACTGTGGAGTTAGTGCCAGGAACCCAAGGACTCTGTGGTATTAGTTATCCAAATTGAGACTGTACTGAAGTGGCATTACTTTCCTGACAGATAAAGATATAAGATATACCTTCCTATGGGGGAACACAGTATTGTACAGGTCTTGAGAGATTAATAAGAAAATATTTAGGCCAGTTTTCTTCCAAAATTTGGTAAGTTCCTTCGTGACCTTTATATTGCACTTCTTGACAGTTTAGGAATAATTCAAATATATGCTTTTTTCATCATAAATTGTTTTCTGATACACAGGAAAAGTCTTAAATTATCCTAGCCCTTATGACTGTCAGAAGGTAGGGCCGGGCACATTTTCAGCAGCGCCACTGAATGACTGTACAGATCAAGCATTTTAGAAATCTCTCTACCCTGGATCAGTAAGATTTAAAATAACAAGTGTGCCTCCTGCAAGCTATAAAAATCTCGTGAAGATCTGTGAAATTATTGAAAGATTTGCCAGCTATATGTGGAATTGGAGTCATAGTGTGTGACAGGTTCACCAGATGTGCTTGTGTAAGGCAGCCTTCAAAGTCTTAGCTCTAATGAGGGTGAACTCTGCTCTCCAAGCTTTCCGGTGATGAGCATTATAGGGCTTTACTATAAGGAGCCTACAACAACATGACTTGTATAATACTTGTCTCTGGGAATAATGTGATTAACAGTACTACTGCTGTGAGGTGCAGGAAAAGTCATGAAGGTGTTCCATTTATTATGGTACATTTTAAACACTGCTCTTATCTGAATAAATTGGTCACTAGGTGGCAGAAGGAAAATATGTCTACTCCTCAAAAAATTCCAATACATGTGCTCTTGTATTCCCCTTTGTCTAGCTCCTGGGTGGTTATTCTCGTTCCTTTGTCTGGGGTATGTGACTGAAAATCACCCCAGGTTACAAATCCTCATATGCTGTATAATGGTTCTTGTAAGGGATCCATGATTTGCCTTTGAGAAAGATTTTGAATGAAAGAAGAAATAGCCAGGTGTGGGAAGTGGAAGAAGTTAATGCAACTTCCTATATTTTGCACACAGGCATGAAAATAGGCTTACCTTTCAGTTTTATCCTTACAAGTGTTTGTTCTTCAGTTTCTGAGTTTGAACCATTAAGCAACTTTGCTCTGTAGACTGCTATGTTGAATCAAAGAGATTTGGTAACTCATCAGGTTCAGTTGAACATGATAATAATAAAAAGAATAATAAAAAAAATAGGGCAAACCTGAAGCTTTAAATTAAGTAACTAGGTACCTTTTTTCCTACTAAATATTTCAGCTCTGTATTTTTTGGGTTTGGGTGCTAGGATAGGACTACTTAGAACATGCAATGAACTATCCATTTCCTAAGACACTGACTGCAGTGTAGTAGGTTGCATGCTGTCCTGGCTATAATACCACAATGTAACACATGTATTTTTTCAAGGTAAATGTAAGTATAGTACATATATTTCATATATAGTACATATATCAGAAATGCTCTGCCTCGCTTGAAACAAATGCCTTATTTCACTGTTTCTCCTCTCCAGACCATAACATCTTTTCATTCTGACAGTAACTATCTTGGGATAGGTAATTTTAACCTAAGTATGCCAATAAAATTACATTTTTTAGTGCTATATAAAATAATTTTGAACTAAACCCACCAGATTGTGTCTGTCCACTAAATCCTTATGTTTCTTTTTTTTTTTCCTAAATTACTGTTTTCAATTTTTTTTTTCCTTCTTAGTTCCACTGGAAATTATTAGGCTTGTTCTCAGGGTACCTTCTGCTGAAGCATTACCAAGAGTTTTAGCTTCTGTTTAATAGTTCAGTTTAAAGAGGCAGCATAAATGCTACCAGTATGTCTTTTAGAAATTCCATAATACCATCTCTAGGTAGTGGAACACTTTTTTAGGAGTACTCTTTAGATTATTTTAGACTGTCAGTGGATAAGGACAGTAAATATTATGAAGGATATGAAACAGCCAAGGTCTGCACAGCCATATCAGTGAAGTGAATATTAACATTAATGAAGTTATGACTTAATAAATTAAATTATTTTTGATTTATTATCCTCCTGTGCATCACCAACTGTGACATGAGATAAGATAGTTGCATTTAGGTGAAAGCACAGACCTCCATGCATTGAGACTGGAAGGCTGCATAATCTCCATCTGAAAACACTGAAATAACTGTTGGGTGAAATTGCAGGGCTGGGAGCACATTTTTTACAGTAAAATTTACTTAATCTGATGCTGTCTCATATGAATGGTGAATTGTGTTGACAATGCCTCTGTTGAGAAGGGGAAAGGAAAAGCGATCCAGTTGTTGTTAATTTTTATATGTTTTACAACAAATTTAGAGTGGATGAAAAGGTAAAGACTTGGAACTAATTGAAAAGTGGGATAGAGTGAAATACGGTTTCTTAAGCAAAGGTGTTGCCTCTGCCAGGATTTCTTTAGAGTTCTAGTTAATGTCTTATAGAAAAAAAATCAATCTACCCAGGTACCACATGGGAAGCGATTTGTTAATCTAGTGTGTGCTGTAGAGGAATTTTGAAGTGGGATTAGGCAGCAAGGGGAAAGTAAACAAGCAGTACTGAAAGGAGAAGTGGCAGTCAACTGGCACATCATTTTTGACTGTTGCTTTGTATGTAAATTAATATTTTTGTGCCAATTTAACTTGGCACGAAAAGGAGGCATGCACTAACTGAATTTGCTCATGACACCAGGCTGGGAAGCACCATCACCAGAAAAGGCAAATGAGGCTGTTGCACAGGAAGAAGTGGCTGAATTGGAGTCATGGAAATGGATAATGTTCAGCAGTGCAGAGCAGGAGGCTGTGTTCTTGGAAATTATAATAAGAATTTCTGCTAGAAGCTGGGAGCTCAGCAGTAGAGAAGATGGATTTGGATGTATCAGCAGAAACTGGATCAGGCTGAACTTCCATTTGGCATATTACCTTTTCCTGGTGGTGGTGGGTCGGGCTGGCTGGGGGGTGAGGCACAGTCAGGTGCCACCTTTGGCTTTGGCAGTGAGGGGTGGAGACTGCATGGGATAGTTGTTATTTGGCATTTGTATGCAATGGGAAGAACCTGCAGGAAGGCAAGGTGTCTTCAGAGTCCAGTTCTGGCCATTACAACCCTCAGGGTTATTCTATGTTATTAATCTGCTGAGACTGCCTTAAATGGGGAGACAGTATGATAATGCTATGTATGTGAATGTAAATGAAATCCCAGTAAACAAAATCCCAGATTCCTGAGGTGTTACCAGCAGAGAGAAGAGATACCTGTGCCATTATAGGGGATCTGGTGAGAAAATAGCTGGAGTATTTTGTGTACAACCACACTCAAGAAAGATATGTTAGCATTAGGAGGGTGAGAAAAAAAAAGCAAGCAGGTAATTATGTTCAGCTTATGTTCCAAAAAGGAGACTTAGTTTGGTAAATGGAGGGAGAGCACAAGCCTGATACAAGTGTATTAGTGTGGTGGACACACCGAGAACTGCTGAATCTATTGCAGAAACTTAGTACAAGAGTAGAAATAACATCAATTTTGGAAACAAGGTTTTTGTTCCAATGTGTTAGTGCAGGTCTAATAGCTCTTCCTAATGGAAAGGACAGCTGATTTCTAAATGTTTAATACAGATTTTGGGTGCCTGAAATTATGAGATAGGATTGACAAGGGTGGGAGTAGTCTTTTGCAGCCCTGTATACCTGTCTGCTGGCATACCTTCTTAGAAAGAAGCTATCGCGGTGACTTTATTTAAAGCAATTTTGTGAAAGTAATACCCAAGGAGAGGACTGGAAAAATTATACTTACTCCTGCTGCCTAGTTTCAGGTGACATTTAAAAAAAATCAAAAAATAATCCTTTCTAGTTTATGCTCACTTTTCTGCTGACTGAGAATTGCAGGTTGGACCAGTTTCGGACCAGCATTAACAATCTTATTACTTGTGAAAACTACAACTACTTTAAATCCTGGTTTAATTGTGGAGAGAAAAAAAAAGAATAATTCAGTGTCACTACGATGACAGCCGAGGTGATGCTGAGAGCATGTGTGCCCGCTGGCCGCCCTTCTCCATCGTTCCGCTGGCGAGACGATGGTTCCCCGCAGGGGCAGGGAACCAGCGGTCCCAGGCACGGCACGTCCCGCAGGAGCGGGCCGGGATCGGGGCCGTGCTGCCGCCCCGCGGCCGCTCCGGGGCTGCCGGCGCCCTCCCGGCCCCGGGCCTCCCTTCCCCCTTTGGTTTTTGGATTTCCGTTCCGCTCCGCTGGGCTGAGCTGCGCCGTCTGCCCGCCAGGCCCGGCGGCTCTCGGGCTGCCCGTGCCCCAGCGTGCTGCAGCCAGCCGCCCTCCCTGCTCCTGCTCTTCTAGTCCTGCTTTAACTCGGCTGCACTCAGGAAAAAAACAAAACCCAAGCGCAACAAGATAAACCAATTGTTCTGTGATGTGCAGAAAAATTTTTCTGCTAGGAATGCCAGTCCATTGCAGAACGAGAGAAGTATGTAACAGACAGCAAATACCTTTCATTTAATTTCATTGTCCTGTTTTGTTGGGGGTTTTTGTTTTTTTTTTTTTTTTTTTTTTTTTTTTGTTTTGGTTTTTTGTTTTTGTTTTGTTGGAGTTTTTTGTTTACATTTGGATTCCATTTTATCTCTCCTGAAATCTTGAAAACTCCACAGGGTGTCTTTCGCCGTTTCCTTTTTTACACCAGACCACTACATTTTTTACATCAGCTCTTTGCTTAAACACAACTCCGAGCTTCGTTTCCATTGCAAAAAGCTGAGTTAGGAGTACTAAACAACAAGAGTTCGCTTGGAAGCAAGAAATAAAAGCAGTGGGAAGATAAACTACTCCCTCACAAGTTGTCGTGGGCAAACGGCAACTGGGAGGGGTGTAATCGCTACCTTTTTGTTTTTCCACTGCGAAGTTATTTGTGTGTCTCCAGCTGCCTCTCAACCCGCCTTCGTCTAGTGTGCTTTTGTCCAGCCAGCTGGGATTCTTTAACTTGCTGCTGATAGTGTTTAGAAGCTGAGTTAAGAGTCCTAAAGTAGCTCCCTACTCAGCCCCCTCCGTTAAACCAGCGCAGCTGCTTTTCAGGCACCCTGAATGGTGGGAGGGGAAGCGATTTCCTTCAGAACTGAGAGAGGAGGAGCGTGAGCCCTGATGCTTCAAAGGGAAAATGTTACTTCACCCCCGTAAGCTGAAGGAACTGTGGAAGTATTAACCAGAAGCTCTCGGCCGTTTGGGGCAGAGGCGGAATGTGGCTTGGTCACTGATGTAGCATTGGTGTGCTGCAAAAATTTTTGTAGTTTAAGAAACCTGGATGTCTTTGGAGCTTCTTTAGGGCTTTTGGTGCAGCCCTTAAATAAATATGACCTTTGAAGAGCATTTTAATTGTTTATGAAGCTGGCCTGTGAATTAGAGCCAAGATGTAGCTAGTTTGTAGTTGAGGAAAGCAGGTATTGCTGGGCAGGAAGGATTTAATGAAACAAAGAGAGAGAATCTTGGTTTTGTTCCTCCAAAGACAATGCGTGTGACAGCTTCTCTGTTCCTTTTTGGTGATGATAGTGTCAGATGTTTACTTCTGACAGGTAGGGTGGCAACTGTAGCATCTTCAATGTGTGCTTTGGGTGCTCTGGTCTTCAGCTAGTCATGAATCTAGTCTTCAGCCACTTTTGTGAGGCTGTTCCTGCATTCATGCCTTTGGTTGGCCAGGAAGTGTGTCAGTTGTGTAATATTCCTATGAGCATGTATGATTTTCACTTCTAGGGAAAGAAAACACCCCAGGAATTTGGTGATGGGGAAATTCCAAAATTTGATGGAGCAGGTTATGACAAAGACCTGATCGAAGCTCTTGAAAGAGACATTGTGTCAAGGAATCCAAGCATTCATTGGTAAGAGGATTTTCTCAGTTCAAGTGTTTTTGCTGGTGTGAGAAAGGAGAGAAATTACCCATCTTCAAATTCCTAAAACAGAGAGACAAGATAATCTTCTACAGACAGGCAAAAATGAGATCTTTTGTTTTAACAGTTTATTAATTTGATTAAAGTTAAGCTTTTGTTGCTAATTGATATTTTGTGCAGTACATTTATTACAGGTACTGCTGAAATGAACATATGCTCCAGAGATCTTTAAAGATACTGCTTTGGTGTTCTCATTGTCCAAAACAATTATTAATTAAGCAGCTCTAGGTAACTTGAGTTGAAAATAATTTTTTCCCTGTCTTCCAAAAGTGGATTCAGTTTTAGGTCACAGTATGATAGGAGTGCTCTCATGAGGCATATTCTTGCATACTAAAATAAATTGTACTAAGTGAAAAGCTTTTCTATTTCTCTTGTATAAAAATAGAAGAAATACAGTTGTATGAGAATCTTATACAAGTTTCTTCATCTTGCACAGGGATGACATAGCAGATTTGGAAGAAGCCAAGAAATTATTAAGAGAAGCTGTTGTTCTTCCAATGTGGATGCCTGACTTTTTCAAAGGGATCAGAAGACCTTGGAAGGTAAGAATTTATGTGGTGTTTTAGTAAATGGCAAGCTGTACCTATGTGAGTCTCCTGCTGTAACCTGTGAATGCCTGTAGCAAAGGCTGAAAAGGTAAAGATCATGAATTTGTTTATTAAATCCTCTCATAATGATTCATGTAAAAGGCACTGAAAGAAACAGCTGGAAGTGTCCTGACCCTTAAAATATGCAGTATTTTCTGTTTATTTACTCACTTATAGCTCGTTGATATTATAATACTTTCTATATGCCAACCTGTAGATGTAAGCAAACAGATTATATCAACTGAAGCAGAAATGCTTAACAGACAATCCTACATAGGCTTATAGTGTCCAGTTGTTATCACTTCCCATAAGAAAGCAATCCTTGGAGTGTTTTTCTCCAAATGTTTCAACTACCTCTCACTCAGACTGCAAACTGCAGCGTGCATGGTACAAGGAAGCAAAGGAAGAGGGGCCAGTCTGGTGATTCACCTTTGCAGTCACATTTGCAGCTGGGCCTAGTTGCAGCTGGAGTGAGAAATTCAGAGTAGGAGAAGGAGTTGCAAGCAGGGCAGCAGGAAGGCTATAGGACTGAACTAGGCTGATTGACCAGAAGTGAGCCCAATCTGGGCCTTGCTTAGAGCTAAGAAGGAAGAGGAGGGAGGAGTTTGGCAAGCATTTCTGTCAACAGTGTTATTTTGCTTCTGATGTGGAATGGATTGATGCTTGTTTGGGGAATACGTAGTCACAACACAAAGCCTTTTTGGTTACTGAGAAGCATTACTGGGGAAAAGTGACTGTTGCAAATTTTCTGTTATTCTGAGTGTGGAAGGAAGTGGCGTGTGTAGGGAATGCTGTGTACAAGGAGTAGTTTCCTGTTTAGTGTGCTGGTTTAGCAGCGTGGGTCAGATCTTGCTCTACTAACACTTGTTCTGCCTTTTCCTGATTAGTCCTTGTGCTTCCCTGGCTTATACTTAGGTCAGACCAGCAGGAGCTGGGAGATTGCTGCTTGAGAGCTGCTCACAGAGGTTTTAGTGAGTTGCAGGGAGGGACCCCAAACATACAGTTAGTGCAAACCTAGCCCCAGGCTATCAGGCCTTTGGAGTTAGAGTGCTTGTGGTCAGTACCACTGGCCTTGTAGTTAACCTTAGAGTTAACTGAGCTATCATCTTGGACAGGGCCTAGATGTTGTGAGTTACATGTGCAGTGTATTTTAGTGTATTTTGAACAGCTGAATCTCTTTCTTCTCGGCTTAGAGGAAGTTGATCCATACTCTTGTTATAGACTATGGGGGCCCCATCTGTCTGATGTTCAAAATCTTCTAATGGAGTAAAGATCTGCTCTGCTTTTTTTTCGCCTGTTGGCATGCACAGAGGATGTAGTGGCCATCTGTCTTTAAGACAGGTATCTCAGCAGACTGCAGGAAATGTGAAAAATGTCACCGACCTTGTCTCCAAGTGTTGTGGCAGTGGATAAAGGAACAACAGGTCCTTTAAAGAGTTACAGTCTCCATCTCTTTGCATGAGACTACTTTTTCCTACTGAGCAGTGTCACCTCTGAAAACCAGGTGGTTGTCGACATGGAAAAGATTCTAGGATTATTTCCTCTCTTCAGTCTGAAATGCAAATTGATTTCTGACAAGGCTATGAAGAGTCTTCATTGTTAGCCTTTTCCCTGGTGACTTGTGAAGCTGTAACTCTCATGAATTTATTTTTCACACAGACCAGCATGTATTTTCCCTACTGTTGACCTCTGACTGTGCTATAAGGATGAAAAGTATTGAAGGGAAGGCTGTGTCTTGCAGTAATCAGTGTAGCAGCAGGCATTTGTTGAGCCTAGGAATTCAGGACAATAATTCAGGGAAAAAGGCAGCCGAAGCTGGTTTTGGATGCTCAGACTCCCCTGAGAACAATTCCCAAGACAGCCCTCACAGTTTGTGCTTGTATTCAGAGAACTGTGCCTTGTCTGAAGGAGCCAGCTGTCTTCCTTGATTTAACACAGGTGCTGTGTAGTTGCAGCCACGGGTTTCTGAGTGTCCATGGGTTTGCTCTTTCTGTTTCTCTGAAATGTTTTGTGCCAAGAAAGCCTGGTTGCTCACTGTGCTTCCCACTGCTCTGCTAGTGATTGTTACAACAACAAGAAGTAACCCTGCAGTGATTTCATCAAAACGCTTACTCCCTGCGGTGCATTTCAGCTTCTTATTGGAATACTTTGGATTAACAGAGCCTTAGAGGAAGAATAAAGAAGTCTTTGTATTTGTCAAGGATTTTAAATAGTAAGTGGCAGCCTCCTAGTTTGCAGAAAGAGCAACTTGATCCTATGTGTTTCTGTTTGCAGCCATGCACGTCTTGTTTTGCTGCGAACTCAAGTTCTTTTTTTTTTTTTTTTGTAACTGATATTTCTATTGTGTTTATCCCCAGAGAGCTTACTTTTCCCCTGGCTTTACACCTGGTGTGGCTGCTTTGCACCTGTGTTATGCACATATATAATGCCACTAGTATCACGTGCAGTGTAACGCTTCCTGTAATACTTAGCAGGAGGTGCAAAGTGAGGGATGGGCTACAATTTTGGCAGGGTACAGCATGTGTACCTGAAGCCAGAATTTGTCCTTCCAGAATAATGGAAAATGGAACCAATATCCCAAAAATGTCATTACTTCCCTGTATAGCCAGGTCATGTGCTAAACACAGTTTATCAAACACATGCTTTGAATGCGATTTGAATTGAGGTGAAGCTTTTTAAAAAAATATTAAATTAACATATTTGAAGCTCAGAGAGAACAGTAAGTCATCTCTGACCTGCATATTGCAGTCTGAGTAATTTTCACCCAGTCACTCCAGGGCTCTATGTGCAATATTTTTGTAATATCAGTATAACTGTGCAGCATCTCAAATCAGAATGTCTGAGTGTTCACAGGGAGAAAAGAGAGTCCATTTACTTTTTATGCTTGCTGCTCTAGAGCTTAGGAAACCTTGAGCAGCCTGAGGAGTGACTTTGGACTGTTAGCTGTAGAGATGGCATTTGAACATTTCTGATTTAATTTACCGATGAATGTATGTTGAGCTTGCATTAGCTAAGTATTAAATGGCAATAAAGGTATTAAGAGTTAATGGAAAATGGAATACAGAGCGGCTATTGCTTTTGAATGGGACATTTTTGAATAATTGCTTTCCCGGTTGATTTGTTTTTATAGATCTCTTCCATGTCATTCTTTGTGCTTTTTGAAGTAAATTTTTGTGAGGAACAGATGAAATCTAATTTGCTATATGGCTTGCATTTAACAGATATTTTATTACTGTGGCATTTTATGTAAGTTATTAATTGCAAAGCACATTATGATGTGCAATTCTAACACTAGCTAATTTGATTACCCTTGCAATACAGTACAATTTTAGGAAACTCTTGTTAGCATGTAATAAGATCTTGCAATTGGGAGGGGAAAAATAACCCCAAGCTGCTGGAGCACTACATTTTCATTGATTTACTTAAAATCACAGGGCCCTACACTAGCACTGTGCAGGACATGGAACAGTGTTTTGTCCTTCTCCAGTGCTGCTGCTGAAAGGGTTGGAAAGACTACCCATAAAGATGGCTGTATTTAGTAGTATTATCAAGAGTAATTAACCCATCTCAGTGATACGAGCTTAACATGGGTTCTGAGAGCACTGTGTAATCATGGGTAAATATGCTGAGCTGCATACATGTGTGCTTCTTTCTTTCAGAGACCACAGATGGAAAGATAGTCTGAATGATGTGGATATAAGAATTGTTTCTAGTTTAAAGCTTTCTGAATAATCACTGGAGTTCAGATTAGGCTTTTGTGGGACTAAGCAGTAGTCCACATGAGCCACAGTTGCTTATCTGTAAAACAGTACAGTCCAGTCATCCATCATGATGAGGATGGTATTTCGTCCAGGAATTGTTATGATGCAGTAGTGTGGTCATAGGAACATTGAGATTGGGAGATTAAGCAAAAAAAAGACTGATGTATTCAGTGAATGCTCTCATGTAAATGTAAACATCAACCAGAGTCATACATATTTTCGGGATATTTTAGGAAAGTGTTTTTCTGTAGAAAATTTCTCTACTGAGGAAACACAACGTACTGTGAAAGTATTTTGGTTTCTGTGAGACTTTCTCGTGAAGGGGCCTTTGTTCCAAAAAAAGAATTTACCATCTTCATCTGCCTGTACAGCCCCTTGTGAGCTGGGAAAGACCTAAGTTCAAGTCTAGACTCTGTTTGATTCTGAGCAAGGCTGTAAATCTCTTGTCCATTTCCTAGGTACAAGCAACAGGTACTGGATTTTGTGGTTCTGACTCCAGTGGAGTTGTGAGAAGAAATGGCAGAACACTTCTACACTGTCCTCGAAAGCAGGATACTTATCTTCTGTTTTCCACTGATGATGGTTATGTTATTAATTTAAATCCAGATCTTGGCTTATATTGAGATGTTGTGTAGAGTACCAATGGCAAAGTTTTCTTAATTTGTTGTTCATTACCTTTGTTCTCACCTTCCAGGGTGTGCTGATGGTTGGTCCTCCTGGCACTGGCAAAACAATGCTGGCAAAAGCTGTTGCTACAGAATGTGGGACAACATTCTTCAACGTGTCTTCCTCTACACTGACGTCTAAATACAGAGGCGAGTCTGAGAAGCTGGTCCGCCTCTTGTTTGAAATGGTATGTCCTCGATGATGTGATCTAGGGATCATTAAGGTGAGAAAGGGCAGCTCTCTTGGTTTCCTGCCCTTCCAGTGGCATGTTGGAAGCATGGAGTTCATTGAACTGACACCCCCTCACCCAGTTAGAAAAACGTAATTTCTAGGCTTCCACATATGTTATGTTATTAAGGATTAAGAAGGAAATGCTTAATCACCCATGTTTAGGATAGCATTTCCCAGACTAAATAGAGAGTTGTGACCTCAACAGAAATTCAGTTATTTGATTATGGGGTAACTATGCCATATGATGTAGATTTGAAATTGGAAGGGGTTTGGAACAGTTATTCTAGAAGCTGTACATGTTTTAGTTCTGAATGATGGTCACAAGCCTCTCAGTGAAGCTGTGAGTGCAGTCCATTATGCAGGGTGTGTGAAGGACATATCCATGTGGGCTATACCTCTGAGACCCTCACTGCGCTCCTGTAACATTCACAGCTAAAACCTGAATCTCTTGAGATTGCTGAGCTCCCTTCTGTCCTTTATGCTTAACCCTCACCAGCCCAAAACCTGGACTTGAAAACTGCCTGTATTGTGTCATGAAGACTATCCTATTGTGGTAGTGTTTCTTTTACCCTTTTCAAAGTCATTTGCTGGGGAAAGCCAACTAACACTGACCCAAGGAGTACAGTTTAAAGTGTAGAAACCTCGGCATGTGACAGTTTGTAAATCAAGGTCTTGAATTCCTTCCTTGTGACAGTCAGGGAAGATAAGTGTGCAGTATGTCCAGCAGGGCTGGGTTGTGGTCTGATGAGGGCCTGTGCTTGCTGAACAGCCTTAATAGTGATGTTTTCATTTGAATAAAGGCACGGTTTTATGCACCAACAACAATCTTCATTGATGAGATAGATTCCATCTGCAGCCGCAGAGGCACGTCTGACGAACACGAGGCCAGTCGCAGAGTCAAGTCAGAGCTGCTTGTGCAAATGGATGGTAACAAGGGCTTAGATCTGGCTTTGGGGCTGGGATGCTGTTTCTTTACAGGTGGGAATGTACAAACTTGACCCATCTGGAAAACCTGGCTCTATGCATAAGAGAAAAATGAGGCACAACTTGAGATGAGTGTAGTTTTGGAGTATTCAACAACAGATAACTGAAAAGGGTGTTCTGCTTTATTTTTTTCTAAAACAGCTATTTTTAGGGTGACTTGAAAGCTCATGTTAAAGAGACACAGACTCCTCAAGAAGCAGATAATGGAGATTTGTGCAGTTTAGTGCAGGTATTCAATTTGTATTCAGTTTAAACAAAATTCTGCCCTTTGCTAGACTCTCCAACTGTGGAACCCCATTGTGAGATCTGCTTTTGCTGTATTCTATGATGGCAGCTAATATTACCCTTTTAAGTCAGATGTAGTACCTGTTTTGTGCAGCTGCACACAACAAGCATGACCATCTGAGGAATATTGTATGGTGTAGAGGTTTGATAGCCGCCTTTATATTGCAGCTATCATAAACTGCTGTATAAACTACTGTATATAAACTATTATTTTAAATGTTCTCAAATTTGCAGGTTCATTGTGGTAAGCTCAGGATAGGGAAGCTTTTGATCTCTTTGCAGTCCTCACTTTGTAAGCTGAGTGACTCCTATTTCTTCTATGACCAGACTCGAAAGGGACAGTACTGTCAGTGGGACTAGCAGGGCTATACTCACATATATCTGTGTTATTAGCACTGTCCAAGAAAGCCCTCCCCTTACTCAGCAAAATAATGAACTGTCCCTCTCTCTGTGATAATGATGATCTTGTGACACCTATCTATGGGAAGTTTGGAAAGGGACACAGGACTATAGAGAGCTGTTGCTTAGCTTTGTCCAGGCTGTGTTTGTCTGTGCAGTGCTTCTCAGCAAGCATCTCCATCAATAAGAGCTCTGGAATAAAATTGCTCTGAACTGTTGTGCTTGCAGGGGTAGGTGGTGCTCTGGAAAATGATGACCCTTCCAAGATGGTTATGGTATTATCTGCTACAAATTTTCCCTGGGATATTGACGAAGCTCTCCGACGGAGACTGGAGAAGAGGATTTATATACCTTTGCCCACAGGTGTGTTTGATAAGACCATTTTCCTTTCCTCTCTTTGCAAGATGACTTTAGAATAACTGCAGGACTGTTGTGCTTGTAAGGAATCCTGATCGTTTTGTGATGAGCAGTGTAATTCAGGGGTTAATCATTTGTCTGGATTGCTTTATTTTTAAAGAGAGTGAAAAAAAGAGAAATGCTGCTTGCTTGGGGGCTGAAAAACAAAGAGCTGTGGCATTTCATTGCAAGCCATTGATGGGTTCTTATATTTTGAAAGAGAGTTAGTTTTAATGAGCCTGGAATTATTTTAAATGTTTAACAGTCAGTCCTTGAGTGATCATCAAAGGCAGCCTTTGGACATGTTCACAAATATTGCAAATGCACTCCATGCCCTTGCAGACAAATGGAAAGAAGTAGATCCATGAATTTTCACTTACAGGCTTAGTTCATTGCAAATCACTGCTTGCTTGCCTTTATTACTGTGCTTCCAGTCACTCAGAATGCAGCAGGCTGATTGCTTTCCTGCCCTAAGACATCTCAGCTTGTATTGTCTTTCCTAGCTGTCATTCACCTGTCCTATTAATTTTGAGGTTCCTATCACTTGAAGTTTGCATAGCTCTGTTTCTTCTTGGTACAGTGGATGCCTCATCTCCCTGCATGAGCACTCAAGATAACAAGATGCATGTCCATGGTGACAGTGGTTGTGATTGAGTTTAGCAGGTCTAAGGACACTTAAGAGTTCTACAGCTTGTCTTTGCAGCATACAGGCAGTAACAGCTCCTAACAGGATGCCTGTCTTTATGACCAATTAGTTTAAAATCCTATCAGCTCTTCCTCTTGTTTCTAATTAAACCAGATTGTTTTTTAACACAGTGTATTACACCCTGGACAACATAGGAGATGTGATTTTATTTCCAGTCTTAGTTTCTGTTGTATCTATTCTGCAAGTAAAAATATTGTGCTACTCTGGGCAAGTCTGAGTGATGCATTTATAACTGTGCTGTGTGATTTGATACAGTCAGGTATTTTAACTGAAAAAGTGGTATGGTAGCATATATGCTCCTGTTTATTGTGGAATTTGATGCAAGCATATATTTCTTGGTGTTGAATTTTCAAAATGCTGCACAGACTTGCTTAGCCTCACAGCAACAATTAGAAGAATGTTCTCTGATGGAGGATACTCTCTGCAGGTATGCTTGTGTGGACATTGTGCCCTCTAAATAATAAATCCCCATTTTATAGCTAGTGCCAGTTGTGTGATGGATAACTCTGTGCTCTTGACAGTTCTGCAAAGCACACAAAACCAGCAGCTCTGGAGAAGCTTTCTATTTTCTTTTGTATTTCTTCTTTCCCAACAGTTAAAATAAGAATTAGCAACATCAATGAATAAAACATAATGTAGTTTATTGGACATTTCTTTAAGACTTTTAGCCTTTCCTACTGCTACTTCTGTTGCAATTGTCCTTTTTTATAGGTCATAAAAATTGATCACTTGGCAAATAAAGATGCTGAGCTGGCATATTTTTCCTGTACAGTGGAAGTCAGGAAACCAGTCATCCTCTTCTTTCCTACCCTTGTGCAGAGTAACACGGAGGCCTAAGCTGTCAAATGGGAATTCCCTCTTACAAGCTTAGGCTGCTTAACATGTGTACCCAAATGCACATATGCACGTGCCCTCTGCAAGAGTGCTCATTGACACAGCTGGTTATCACTGTGTGCACACTGCATCTGGGTAGGAAAGTGGGATACCAGGATGTTGCTATTGAAAATATATTAATACAAGTTTATTGTATTAATGTGCCTGTTTTCTATCAGGCTTCAGCTGATTTCTTCGGTCCCAACTGAATAAACTGCTTAAACATATGCTTAGAGTTCAGCCTGTTGTTAAGGGGTTTGTGCTGTCTGAAGCTCTCTTAATAGAATCCTTATTGTAGCTCTAATGAAACTATGAATAATATGCAATCAAAGCCTCGAATAGGGAGTGGATCCAAAGGGATGTGAGAAGAAACAGAAATTTGTAGGATTGTGCTTTTGTGCCCTTGGGTAATATGTGACCAAATGCTTTATCACCTGAGACATAACAGACATTTTTAGTGACAGATCACTCTGACAAATATCTCTCGACCATGCTGTTTTAATATACTGCATTTAACCAAATACTTTACTGTATTTGATTGCACACTGACTTGTTCTCTCTCTTTTCTTATATTGAACTCTTTTGTTCATACATTTCACTGAAAAATCTAAGTTGTGTTTATATATTTTTTAATGTAACTCTTTCCAGTCTTCAAACAAATATTTTTACGTTCTAGCAAAAGGCAGAGCAGAACTACTGAAGATTAACCTTCGGGAAGTAGAACTAGATCCTGATATCAGCCTTGAAGAAATTGCTGAGAAGATTGAAGGCTATTCTGGTGCTGACATCACTAATGTTTGCAGGTATCTCATTGCCCTTAATTTGCAAATAGAACTGCATGGGAAGTCATAATTTGCATTATATGATAAAAGGCAATACCCACTACAGCTGAAGCCATGCTCACAGTTGTTTTTGAGGCCCAAATCTATTTACTGTATTCATGTATTACTGTCATGTGGAGTGGTCCAAATATCATGGAGTCTTTCTGTGAGATGTGGTTTTCTTGGATCTGAAGTGAAAAAAGTTATCTAAGCAAATCTCACGTTACAGTTGGCTGCATTTACTGTAGTTGTCTGCATTTGTTAATGTAGTGCAAGGCAGATTGTTGGGTTTTTTTTTTTTTAAATCCCATTAGTTTAAGAGCTAGAATTCCATGATCTGAAAAATTCCTTTCACAGAACACTTCTTTGGGACTTCTATATGCTGCATGTTTGGACAGCCCCCAGTGCAGCTGAGTCTTGGTGTCTACCTGAATCTTCTAGGTGCAAGGGGGATATAGATGATAATATTAGTATTTAACTTATTTCCATCCTGTTTCCACAATTTGTTTCATTTTTGACACATCAGTCTTTTCTGGTGAAGAATAGGTATTTGAAGAAACTTATCTGAAGGAAGTCTATGTCCCTTAAGAATCCTGTCAAGAGAAACTGATCCTGTAAGAGTATGGCTTGGGAATCATTTTTCTGCTCCCCCTGCTGCCTTTCTGAAAATGTGAAATCACTCCATGGATATGAAAACTCAGTGTGTGTCACGTAGTAGTGAAATTACCTTTCTCCCTAAGGCTTGTGTTATCCCTTGCTGGGAAAAACCTGGGGAAAAAGAAAATGTAATTTCAGACTGCCTGTGGGCCATGGTGTGAGAAAATGAGCAGTGTTCTTCAAGCCAGTGGACCAGGCTGGCAGGATCTGAGCTGGGGAGGAGTCACAGAGCAGGCAGGGCATGAGGAGCCACAAGCACCGATGGACTCAGCACTGCAGGGCCACGTGATGCTGTGTCTGATGCCTCCTGCTCTGTTCTTCACACATCCAGGTGCTGTGGACAAGCAGGCAGCCAAGCTGGGCTGCACTCTTAACCCTTGCTGACTGTCCTTTGGAGCTATGCTGCAGGGAGAAAGTTGAAGTCTAAAAGGAATGTGGTGTAAAAATCCAGATTACTTAAAAAAAAAAAAAAAAAAAAAAAGTCTTTTAGTTTGTCTCCCACCCTGCCTTTTTCTGCTTTAAAGTTGTAAAATTTCATCTCCATGAATCATTGTAAAAGGTTTTCAGTTTTATAGTTTTAATTATCTCTGCACATTTACCATATGCTTAAATGGGTTTTGGTGCCAATGCATTCTTTATGTTGAATTAATGTAGTGATCTGGGAACATGGAAGCTACGAAAGATGTGAACTGCATCTTCTATGGTAAATAAATGCTGTCTTAAGTGCTCCTGCCAGTGGTTTCTAGCAAGAGTATACAATCAAAACTCATAGGCTTACAGCACGTTCTGGTAGCAATTAGCTCCCATGCATTGTCCTGTATTTCCAGGGATGCATCTTTAATGGCAATGAGAAGACGTATTAATGGCTTAACTCCAGAAGAGATTCGTGCACTTTCTAAAGAAGAGCTTCAGATGCCGGTTACCAAGGGGGACTTTGAGCTGGCTCTGAAGAAAATCTCCAAATCTGTTTCTGCTGCAGACCTGGAGAAGTATGAAAAATGGATGGCAGAATTTGGATCTGCTTAATCTCAGTGGCAGCTTTCCTTTGCTAGAGTTTTATGGTTTTTGTTGTTCTCACTTTCAAAATGAGTTAGAAATCTTTTTAAAGGTTTAATAAAAGGTCTGCCTCTGCCCTCATCCCACCCCTTTCTGGTGACAGGATCTTTTAAGCTATTTGTCTTTAAAGGGAATGAACACAATAATGAGCTAATATTGTAAAATATATTTTATCTCTGAAGTAGAAAAATAAGACAAACAGGAAGGGAAAAATCATACTTCTGAGGGCAGTCTTTTTATTTTTCAAATGAAGAGCAGTGTTACTTAACTTCCTCCTAGTCATTTTTTATGGCTGGAGTCAATAAATCAGCTGGGGGATGTGACTCCAGAGGAACAGACAAGGGCTTGCTGTACCCCCCCTGCTCTTAAGTGCTGCTTCTGCCTCCCTTGAATGTGGCATCCAAGTTATTATTCTTTCTCTCTATGCTCGGATATTCAGAGCAAAGCCTGTGGATTAATTGGCATTACAGAGGAAATGAGGACCAGTTTTCCATCAAGACATGAGCCTGACTCTCCTCTCATGTACTCCCATTTGGAATTGATGTCACTTCAGACTGTTATTGGTGTTACCTGCAATGACTTCTGATGGGAATGAGAGGGAAAGAAAAAGGCATGGGTTGTTCTCAGTCCGGTTTATGCTTGTTCTCTGAACATAGTTCAAACCTGTTTGACCAGTAGGCACTTTGACTTAGGTTATAACTTGCACTTTTATGCTTATGTATCATCTTGTGCTTTGTTTGTGCTATCTAAATGTAATTGTTACTAGTATTATTATTATTATTTTAGTACTAAGAGTTTAATAAAGACACTAATATCAAGGCTGTGTTTAAAACACAATGCTGTCCTTAGAACAAATGGCTGTGAACTTCCACTTTTGATTAGATATTAACTATTTCCTAGCATTAGTAGGCAATGGGACTTTTACGTTTTTGTGTTGTAGAACTAGTTCATACTTATTCTTTTTTTCTTGGTGAAGATTTCTTAAAAATGTATAAATATTACTGGTTTAGTAATATTTAGAAAATAATCTGTATGATCTCATTTATGTTCTTAACTATTTCTTCCCTTCCCTCATACAAGTGCAATGATGAGAAGGGTTCTAAAGTCTAACATAAGAAATCCTCTCTAGAGTATACCTGTCACATTGATTGTGTGAGCTTTTCACAGACTCAGCCTGCGAGTCTGGCATATGAAATTTTCCTGTGGAAGGAATGGGAAGGACTGGTCAAACAGCCAGATTTACAGAGAAATATGCAAGCTGTCAGGGTTTTGGTGATGTTGTGATCTAGGCCTTAAGTATCTTGGTGGATGTGAATTGCCCTGCAGCTTGGTAGGTATCCAACCCTTCAGCTCTCTGTGGAGACTCCTAGTGGCACAGAGAGATGTGACGGAGTAAAGAAACAAACACAGCACCTCTTATTGAATGGGAATATATCCTTATTTGCTCCTTTTTGTTAGTCCTCGGAAATTCCCAATAATGTCAGTAATTCAGCACACTGGTCTCTTGGGCCATGACAGGTTAACCACTAAGGCAAAACACCTTAAATCAGATACTTCGTTTGCTCAGGGAAGTGGCAAAATCATCATCCCTGAAAGTGTTTAAAAAATGTGTAGATGTGGCACTTGGGGACATGTGAACATTTTGACATGTCAGTGCTGGGTTAATGGTCAGATTTGATGATCTGAGAGGTCTTTTCCAACCTTAATGATTCTATAATCCTTCCCAGGGAATAACTGGACCTTTATAGACAGAAAGCTCTGAAAATATTGCTATGGACTGTCATTTTTGCCTTATGAAGCTATAGGTGTCCAGTTGTTCTTTGTTTGTTTGTTTGACTGCAGTAGAAATTAGTAAAGCTACACAAATCTTTTGTGGCCAGTATTAGATTAGCACTATGGGGGTCTCTCACTAAATAGGCCGTTGCTGCCCAAGGAGCTTAATCTACACAACCAAGTTGTAGAAGGGAGTTGACATAAATGCCAGTAACAACCCTACGGAGCTGCCCAATAACAGTGCTGGGATTCAGCAGTTGCTGCTTAGTAGGGTCTAAGTTCCAGTTTGCTCAGTTTCACATTGCAAGCAGCAGTGACCTTCCTACTGATGAAAGCACAGCACTTGCTGTGAAAATGTCAGTCCTTAGCTCTTTGATGAACCTTCTGCCTTAAGGCATTAAACTTCCCTCTTGCCTGTTAAGCAAAATACACTGTACTGGATATTCCCTTTAGCAGGAATTATTCAGGTGCTGCAGTCTTTTTCTCTAAAGGTCATGGTTTCTACCCCAGAAATGTTTTCACTGTACAGGTCCATTCATCATTTACAGCTGCAGAACAGAAAAGTGAAAGTTTTCAGGCAGTAGATGTATATGATGGTTGTGCCCCAGAATTACTGACATAACTTGGGCCCTGCTAGATCAGGCACCCCAGAAGACCAAGACCATCCCTTCCCTGCTGAGATCTTTCAGGAAAGGGAGCTGTCTTTGTGTGTTGACCCTTTTATCTTTACCAAGTCATGCTGGCACACCCATCTAGGTGGGCTTGGAGACTGGGTTATTTACTCCAGGGGAGCCAGCAGTGGATGCAGCAAGTAGCAGCCCAGGAAGGAAGGGCAGCCATCAGTGGCAGCAGCTCAAGGCCCAAAGGATGAGCGTATGGCTCAAAGTGAGAGTAGTTCGCGTCCCAGTGCTGGAAACCCTTGTGTAAGGATCCTGGATTCCTTGGAAAGCAATGTACAAGCATGACACAGCCATGTGTCACAGCAACACTGTTCAAGCTATGCCTGTTTGTGTATGGACATCATCCACACACGTGGGGGTATGCACAATAGGTGGTGCTTCAGTAGTTGTACCTAGACTACATAAGAAACATGTTTTAGAGCTGTGTTTATGTGTTTTCTAAACATCTGTGAAGGCCCTGCTGGGTGGCACTGTCAATTTTTGTACAGTTCACAAACTGGTTGTATGAAGTAATAAATGTGCGCTAGAGTCTGTCCGTCTCTCTCGAGTGGGGCTGGGAGTGCTTTGCTGCTAACTTCTTCCAAAGGCTGCCATACAATGTTGATCTCTTCAGTATGTCATGGTGCCCCTTCACCAAAGTCCTGGATGGAGAGCAGTTAAAATCTGGGGTTTTTGGATAAAACTGTCAGCAATGCTTTCTCTCTAAATTGGCCTTTTGTTGCCACAAGCTATAAAATGGAGAATACTGCAATGCCCAGCACATGGAAGGGTGGGTAGGGGAGAACAGAGGCCCCAGCAGATGTTCAGTGTTAGCAC